TGCACAGGAGAATGGAGCTGGAAAGCAGGTTAGTGGGGTGGGGAGGGTATCTTTCCCCTGGAGTGGAGTGGGAATGGAGATTTTACAGTATCCTTTCCCCTGCCACGCCCACCAACCCACACACACCAAGCCATGCCACGCCCATCAAGCCACACCCACAGAACCAGTAGTAATTTTTTTTTTAATCCTACCATTGAATGTATATGGTATTTCAAAATGTATATGGATATTTCTCAATTTTCCAGGTCATGGTTGTTCCAAAGGTGTTTTTCCAAAGGCAACTCAAATCAATTTCGCAGCCAACCAAAGCCAGCACTGACCCACAACCAACCTGCACAACGCTCCCTTCCCCCACCAACCAGCACTTCATCTCCCAATGACCCTCACCTGGCGTGACCTCCCCATTGCAGGACCCATCATCAAACCTTCTCTGTTGACCCACACCTGACCTATCACAAGACCCATATCTGACGTGACCCTCACCTGTTGTGACCTCACCATCACATTGATCAGATAGAGTTTCTCAATGTGATAAATGCCCACCGGCATCGCGGTTGACTTTTTCTTAATTCATTTCTCTCCATCTGGGGGCGGGGGAGGGGGGGATAAGAGAAATGGCTGGGCAGATTAAAATAGTTGCTGCAACAGAAACATGGCCTTTTGTTAAAAAAAACAAACCACTATATCTTCTGGACTTTTGAAGGTATTTGGGAGGTTTTTAGTGATGTATCAATCCTTCTTCTTCCTCCTCTTCCTCTTCCTCTTCCCCTTCCTCCTCCTCCTCCTCCTCCTCCTCCTCCCCCCCCCCCCCATTTTCGTTTCCTTCCTCCCCCCTTTTTTTTTTTCACGAAGATATAATTTTATTCTGGCAGGTAAATGGCGTACTCCGTCGCCTCCCCGTAAACCTTTTGGATGGCAAGCTTCGAATCTATCAGCATGGCTTTTATCAGATGATCGAGGCTTTCTTTGGTGTTACGGTGATCTTTGACCTCTCCTACAATGTGAGAATCACTGTTCCCAACAACTACAAGGATCAGCTGGGTGGCTTATGTGGAAACTACAACGGACAGCCGCAAGACGATCTTCAGCTACCAGATGGCACAGTGGTCTCTGATGTGGCTGTGTTCACTGCTGCCTGGAAAATCCAGACCCCTGGCATCTCCTGCACAGATGGGTGCTTTGGGGAGAATTGTCCAATTTGCACGGAGGCAAAGAAAGAGTTTTTTAAGCAACGCTCCTTCTGTGGGATCCTTACAGCCACCGATGGGCCTTTCAGCTCGTGCCATGGGGTTGTAGTTCCCACGGCCTATCTAAACCACTGCGTCCTCGATTTGTGCATTGGCGGTGGGGACAGACAAATCTTATGTGATAGCATCCAGAGCTATGTGGCAGCCTGCCAAGGAGCCAAGGTCACCATCCAGACTTGGAGGAGCCCAGAATTCTGTCGTGAGTAGCAATCAAGAAGAATTACTAATTGGACTATAGGTTGAAAAGGGGGATGTCCAGTGGTGGGATTCAATTTTTGTTACTACCAGCTCTATGACCGTGGCTTGGTGGGCATGGCATGGCATGGCATGGCTTGGTGGGCGTGGCAGGGGAAGGATACTGTAAAATCCCCATTCCCTCCCCACCCCACTAACCTGCTTTCCAGCTCCATTCTCCTGTGCAGGGCAAACAAAGAAGATCCAGCCAATCAGCTGGGACTTGGGAGGCAGCGAATAGATAGGGGTGGGGCCAGTCACAGTTGGTATTCCGAACTACTCAAAGTTTCCACTACCAGTTCTCCAGAACCGATCAGAACGTGCTGACTACCACCTCTGGGAATGTCCGTACTATAAAGACTGAGGGGCTGTGTGAACTAGCTAGGATTCTGTGATTTGGTTCCAAAGGTTGGTGCAAAATTAAAGAGCCAGTGCAATCTGAAGAGTTGATCTGATCAGAGTACAAGCGCACATAGATAAAAGTCCACCAGATCTTCAAAGGTGCCTAATTTTATTTGCTGTATTGAATTGTTAGCTCAGATGATGCTTTGACCACATTGCCTATAAATAGAATCTCGGATGCTTCACGCAGCCTTAATTAAGAACCCCCAAAGAGAGAAAGAGAATTAAGTAGATAATTGGAAGGTAATCAGCACTTAAACATCCCTTCCTCTTCATCTGGCCATGGCCCAAGGGGATTTGTTGCTTTGGCTACTATCACACCTTGCATTCCCAAACAGGAAAGATTGCTGTCTATTACCTCTACAATAATCATGGGGGTAAATGTAGAGAAGGCAAAGGAGGAGACTAAGTTGGAGTCTCCAGCATGGGGCCGGCCCACCAAGAACCACCTTCTGTCTACTCCTATGCCTTCAATGAACCTGATTGAACTGGTAGCATCGCTATATATTGACTTGCAAGCATCCAAGTTACCACTAGATGGTAGCAAAGAGAGTTTTCTCTGTTGTTCTGACCCAGCTACCCAAACACGACAAACCCTCTGAAGTGAACTCAAAGATTCCTTTAATTAGGAGTGCCAGTAGCCCCGGCAAAAAATTCCTCTCTCGATGCAGGCTAACAAGTCCAGCCGGCCAGGGGATGAATAATTGTCTGCCACACCTACTCATCTCTGCCCCCTGCCTTTTATCCCCAGAGCTAGGGAGGGGCTTCACTAGCAGCAGTGGCTCTTCTGTCCCAAGGACCGGACCATAGATTTCCACTGCTCTCCTCTCCTCTGCCTTCTGCGCATCCACACATCAGGCACTGGACACAGCTGTTCCTCCTCTTCCTCATCAGCCAACTCCAAACCTGGGGGCTGTTGACTCTCCATCTGAGGGTTGATGGACAGCTCAGGCTCTGCCTCTGCCTCTCTCTCTCTCTGCCAGCTCCATTCCCTCTTTCCCCTTGGAGCTCTCAGGTTGCCTTGATGCTGACCCTGGCTCCCATGCCTCCTCCTCCTCCTCCTCTTCCTCTTCCTCTTCTCCTTTTTTTCCTCCTCCTCCTCCTCCTCCTCTGCCTCTTCCTCCTCCTCCTCCTCCTCCTTCTCCTTCGATTCAGCTGCTGGAGGGGCCAGTGGCTGACAGGCCACACCTATCTCTTGGCTGACATGTCAGAGTGGTCATCTTTTTCTTTCAAGACATGGTAGCCTAAGCTTATGGCCCAGTCGGAGTTGTAGTATCAGAACAGCAAGAAAGGAGCCAATGAGAAAAAGGACATGGCCATTGCTATTGACTCTTCTTCTGCTGCTATTCCCAAGTCAGCCATGAGTAAGAGGCAGGGAAATTAGTGCCCTAAGCTCTAACTTGGCCCAGAAATCCAGCTTGGTGGCTGGGGAATTCTGGGAGTTGAAGTCAACCAGCCCAAAAGAGAAAAAGACCCCAGCACCTCTTCACCAGTAATCAGCACCCAGATCAGCATAGATTAACTTCAAGGTTAAATTCAGACCAACAATCAAGTAAGCAATACCCCAAATCAAGAAACTGTCAAAGAGCCATCAGTAAACAGCCCAACTAAAGAAACCCTAACACTGCCCCCATCCACACAGACAGGCAAGTCACCAGAATATAAACTGATATAAACTCCTTGCAAGCACTGATGTGTTACCTAGTTAGGTAGTGAAATGTCTGCCAGAAAACAAGGAAGCTCAGAGAGCACCAAGGACCCCTCACTAGATGGTTGTAAGAAAATACAGACGATGTTAATGGTTGCCACCTACTGGTTATTGCAGTCTGACAACTCCTGCCTGCTGGAGAATTCTGGAAATCGAAGGTTCGCGCCGCTTAAAGTTGCCAAGGTTGAAGGACATTGCTTCAGCTGATTGGCTCCTCTTGTCTCTTCTTCTGCAGCAATAACCTGTCCAGCCAATAGCCATTACACCACCTGTTCTAATATCTGCGAAGTCACCTGTGCTGGGCTTACGGATCACCTTCCGTGTCCGGAGACCTGTGTTGAAGGTTGTCAGTGTGATGATGGCTTCTTCTCAGACGGCCTCAAATGCATCCCCTTGGACGAGTGTGGCTGCTTTGAAAACAACGTATACTATCCGGTAGTTTGAAAAGGAAGGAAATATTGGACCTTCGTTTGTTTCTCTGAGGGACCTGTGAAAAATCACGTCTGTATTAGACATTTAGTCTAGCATTATCTTGTTGGCTACTTACTTTTCAGCGGGAATCAAGATGACATCATTAATTCATTGTAGGCCTTGTGTCTTTTTTCTTTTTTTTTAGTCCAATTTTTGGAGGTTTCCCTCCCACCTTCCCAATTTGATGCAGTGCTAGCCTATCTTTGGCAGACTGTTACTGTGGTTGTAATCAGAAGCTAATTTCGTTTGGTAACTACTTATTACAGCTTCCTGTTAAGTGCAGCTCAATCTTACAGGAGAATTACTGTACTCCTTAATTAGTCCGTTCCTGTTCCCTGTTTTATTAATCTCTTGATGTTTGTCACTCGCTGTGTGATGGCCGTATGGATGAATTAAACCAGGAGCTGGTAAGTTGTTTTAGATGGTACAAAAGAACTTCACAGCAAAAGCAAACCCTTCAAGGTGTCTTCAGGGGATTGTTGTCCTTTTATGAATGGCTCCATTGTAAACTAATGTAGTGGAAGGGAAAACTGTATGGTAACATTTCATAAAAAAAAACCCATGAGACAAGTGGCTCTAATTGCTTAGATTCAGTCCAATCTAGAGGCTTTTAAGAAGAGACTGGACAGCCACTTCTGTCTGAAATGGTGTAGGATCTCCCGCTAGGGCAGAGGGTTAAACTTCCAACTCAGTTATTCTCTGTTCTAATCCCATCCCTTTTATGGATTCTTAATACGTATCTCAGATGATCCAGGATTCCATTCCTCTCCCTCAACCCATTAAGGAACTACAGCTTCAAGGCAAACAGCATTTCCAGGAACCAATGAGGACCTGCTACTCTAGGAACCTTCCAGGTTGCTGTGGAGCAGTTTCTAAATAAATTTTGCTTCTTCCACAAAGCTGGTGGAAGTATTGCAGAAGTACGCGAACCTAGCTCCTTCTGAATGAGGTTTGCCTTGCTGCAGATAACTTTCTCCCAATGCGATTGTTTTTTTTTTAATGTGGTTTTGGATCCTTTTCTCTTACCTGTGGTTGTTTTTCCCCAACGCTCAGCCTAATGTGCCCACCTTGCAAAATAATTGCAAGGAGAAATGTCTCTGCACTCCAGAAGGGTTCTTCTGTGAAGACCACGCTTGTGCCGCCAATGAAGACTGTGTGACAAAAGATGGAGTTATGCAGTGCCAGAACATAGGTAATGGGTGATACCACCTCACTGTTGAGCCCTTGATGGACGAAGAAAGAAAGATATGATTCTACATCCATCAGGTTGTCTTGGGAGTAACCAGTGGTTCAGGCAATGATCCTGTGGGTATAGACTGAAACTGAACGCAGTGTTGCGTGAAATGCATGCATTTCAATTTCAGTAGCTGCTACGGGAGGGACTTTAATTCTTTCTATTTCTCAGAGTGCCTTTCTGAGCATTTATAGAGCTGTGAAGATTTTATCCATAGGTCTAACACAATATCTATTTAGCATGTATTTGTTCAATGTGCTTATTAGCCAAGTCACTAACTAACATAATGGCTATACTTGCTCAACATGCTAAACCTGGTTAGTGTCAAGCCTCAATTTAGTTTGGTGGTGAATTCAGTTTGACACACTTGAAAACTGGAAGTGGGGAGAACTGAGATGGATGGAGCTCCAGCCAAAACAATATAGCTGGGCGATGAATCAGCTGCATTCCAATGGCTGCTCAGCCAGAGGAAGGAGGGACAAAAGTTGCCAGGAAACTATTTCATATCCTGATTGGACAATGTGACATATTGTTTTGGAAAAAATGAGAAAATTCTAGTCATAGTGATGTGGAAAGCTGGGAAACTTTCAGTACTGGCTTTCCACCAGTTAGTACCAAGATGGTGTAATTAAATAAAATAGTTCTTTGAGGAAGTACGATACCTCTGAGTGCATTTTATAATGATTACATTACTTGGAACCTGACAGTTTTAATGTGTGGTAGATTTGTGTGTGTGTGTGTGGTTTCACATGGGGTGCAAGCCCTGATTATTTGGACCCAGGCTAGTTTATGCTTCAATATAACCTAGAAAACGGGTTACTTGTGAAACCAGATTAAGCATGTTGTGTCAGCTGCAGAGGTGTACATTTCAAGACATACTGATAGCAATAGCAACAGCACTTAGACTTATATACCGCTTCACGGTGCTTTACAGCCCTCTCTAAGCGGTTTACAGAGTCAGCCTCTTGCCCCGAACAATCTGGCTCCTCATTTACTGACCTTGGAAGGATAGAAGGCTGCGTCAAACTTGAGCCGATCAGGATTGTAGGGAATCGAATTTCTGGCAAGGTGAGCAGAGTTAGCCTGCAATACTGCATTCTAACCACTGCACCACTGTGGCTCTTATACTAATCCTTTTCTAGTCTTAGTTTTTACTTTCTGCAGCCTATCAAAGAGAAAGATTGCGGGGTGTGTGTGTGTGAAGAGGACATGATAACTCTCTTCCAGTACCACCCCTGAGGTCCCTTCCATGATTCCGTGATTCTATGTTCTGCCTTTCTGTTTTCCCCGCAGATCCTTGCAAAGTTAAGCTTTGCCGTCCCAAGGAGACATGTCAGGTTAAGAATGGACAGGCTGTTTGTGTCCCGGATTATACGGGGCACTGTTGGTGCTGGGGGGACCCCCATTGTCATACCTTTGATGGCTACAGCTATGATTTCCAAGGCACTTGTTCCTATGTGCTCGTTCAGTCGACAGGCGTTGATCAAAGCCTTGTACCTTTCTCTGTGGTGGTAAAGAATGAAAACCGAGGGGACAACAAAGCGGTCTCCTATGTCAAACTTGTTAGCTTACGTGTGTATGAGCAAGTCATCAGCATCCATAAACAAGAAAATGGCAGAGTCCGGGTAAGAGCAATTTTTTTTATCAATCACTATTTTGAACGTTCACTTTGTACTTCCATCCCTATCTTATTCCTTTAAAAGATTCACATAGCTATCCATCTTTTAGCCATCTCTGGGCAGTTCCCAATCAAATGGATAGAAGGAAAGAGTGGTGGGATTCAGAGGTGGGATTCAGCAGGTTCTGATCAGTTCTGGAGAACCGGTAGTGGAAATTTTGAATTGTTCGGAGAATCGGTGGTAACCTTCCCCCTGGAGTGGGGTGGGTGTGATGACCTGGGGCGTGGCACAAAGGCAACACAGTCAGATAATCAGTAGGAGTCCCTTTATTAGCTCCAACTTTGCCCCCAATGTCCTGGTTACCTTCTGGATGGAGAAAATCTCTCCCGGGAACAGCCTTTGGCTGCAGAAAATCAAGTCCAAAATGTGGTCAAGAAAAAGTGTAACTATAAGTCCAATCAAGGCAAGATGAGGTAATTAGTCCAGCGGGGCAAGAGAAGGAATTCCATTCGGTTGTAATTCAACCTGGTTGGGAGGATGTCAGGAACACAGATAACCAAAGTCAACATAAGATAAAACTCACGTTTGTTCCCAGCAGACACCACATTCAGCTTGCATCCCTTTTAAACTCTCATTCCCATCTGTGGCTAATGAAGGAAATCAGGGCCCTTTCCTCCCCCAAAAGCCAGGCAAACCACGTTGGTTTCTTCTCTCTTCCTCCCTGCGTGCCCTTGGATGAAGAGGGGGGTGGGCCTAGATCTTCCTCTGAACTCCCTCTCCCTTGTTCTACCTCTCCCCTGCTCTGCCCAGCCAGACTTAGCCCTTCCCCAGTTTCCTCCACAGCCAACGGAACCACATTCCCACCCCCTGTCAGCTGTTTGTCTTCCTCCTCGGATTCAGACTCCGACAGGGGCGTGACAGTGGGAACGGAGATTTTGCAGTATCCTTCCCCTGCCACGCTCACCAAGCCGCACTCATCAAGCCACACCCATTGAACCGGTAGTAAAAAAAAAAATTTGAATCCCACCACCAGTTCTATGAGAGCGTGCAGCATTTAAATTACACCAGTTTCAAGCACTACAGCTTACCTTCTAGGGCAGCCCCAGTAAGTAAAACAGCTGAGCCACGGGAATCCACTGTCCTGTGAGAATCAGCTGAGCTGAAAATCGTGGAAATATAGGACAGGATAGGGCAGATGGGTGGGGCCAGCTGATTGTTGGAGCTACCGGTACGATAGAATCGGTCTGAACTGGCAGCATCCCACCACTGGGAGGAAAATGTTTCCAACGTCTTAATTGTCATTTTTAACTACAGGAAGTCCTTGACTTAACAATAGTTCATTTAATAACCATTTAAAGTTACAATGGCGCTGGAAAAAAATGACTTATGACCGTTGATGACTTATGACCGTTGCAGCATCCCCATGGTCATGTGATGCTTGGCAACTGATTCATATTTATGACGGTTGCAAGTGTCCCAGAGTCATGCAATCCCATTTTGCGACCTTCTGACAGGAAAAGTCAATGGGGAAGCCAGATTCACTTAACAGCTGAGTTATTAAATGAACAATTGCAGTGATTCACTGAGCAACCATGGCAAGGAAGGTCACAAAGTGGAGCAGAATTCACTTAACAACTGGTCTCCCTTAGCAACATAAATTTTGGGCTTAATTGTGGCTTTAAGTCAAGGACTATAATGCTTTTCATGAGGTAATTGAGTGTTGTGTCTTTCTTGCAGTCTGTCTTATCCTTACTTTGCCGATTGGGAAATCCAACATCCAACTCAAACTGGTTTGCCTCTCCCTTCTTGCTTCCTAAAAGCACACTTACTTGCAAATTTCTTTTCTAACCCCCCTGACACAGGTTAATGGTGTGACCTTCAACCTTCCCATAACTCTTCTGGGAGGTAAAATCCGGATCTTCTCCAGTGGCAACTTTGCCAACCTGCAGACCGACTTTGGTTTACTGTTGACCTATGACTGGAACTGGAAAGTAGACGCCCACCTGTCTAGTAGCTATTATGGAAACACCGGGGGACTTTGCGGTAACTTCAATCAGCTGCCAGGGGATGAGTTGAGAAGCCCAGAGGATTTCCTGGTGCCCAATGTGATCACCTGGGCTACTTCCTGGAAAGTGGAAGATGGGGGTCCCCTTTGTTTCCATGAGTGCAGTGGAAAATGCCCTACCTGTGATCAACAACAGCTGGCCAAATACAAAACAGATGGGCATTGTGGGATAGTCTCCGTCTCAAATGGACCCTTCCAGGATTGTCATGCTGTTCTGGATCCCAACATTATCCTAGACAACTGTGCTTTGGATGTTTGTATGAACGGAGGAGACCATGGCATTCTGTGCCAAGCTGTGAACTCTTATGCTGAAGCTTGCCATACGAAAGGCGTCCGGGTTGGTGACTGGAGAACCCCCATCAATTGCCGTAAGTGTTGAACGTTGGGTCTACCCAACAGTGTCCTAGCTTGATGTCTAATATCCCTACTAACAATGAAAGCTAGCGCAAGAACAACATGACGTAAGCGAGGAGCAAAAAACAAAAGTAAATTTAAAAAATATATAATCGAGTTCAATGAATAACAGAGTAACAGAGTTGGAAGCAAAGGTGGGATTCAAAAACTTTTACTACTGGTTCTGTGGGCGTGGCTTGGTGGGCGTGGCAGGGGAAGGATACTGCAAAATCCCCATTCCCTCTCGACCCCACTAACCTGCTTTCCAGCTCCGTTCTCCTGTGCAGGGCAACCAAAGAAGACCCAGCCAATCAGCTGGGACTCAGGAGGCAGAGAAGAGATGGGGGCGGGGCCAGTCAGAGGTGGGATTTGCCGGTTCTCCGAACTACTCAAAATGTCTGCTACCAGTTCTCCAGAACTGGTCAGAACCTGCTGAATACCACCTCTGGTTGGAAGGGACCTTGGAGGTCTTCTAGTCCAACCCTTGCTCAAGCAGCAAACTCTATACCATTCCAGACAAATGATGGACAACATAGTTAAGCAAATTTTGTTCTACTTGTAGAAGAAATATGGGTAGTCCTTGACTTACGACGACAATTGAGACCTGTTGTTAAGTGAGACATTCGTTAGGTGAGTTTTGCCCCATTTTGCCCCAGTTGTTAAGCGAATCACTGCAATTGTTAAGTGAATCTGACTTCTGCCTTGATTTTGCTTGTCAGAAGGTTGCATGACCCTGGGACACAGCAACCTTCATAAGTCTGAGTCAGTTGCAAAGTGTCTGAATTTTGATCATATGGATGCTGCAGTGGTCATGTGAAAAAACAATCATAAGTCACCTTTTTCCCCAGTGCCACTGAAACTTTGAACAGTCACTAAATGATCTGTTGTAAGTCAAGGACTACCTGCATTTTCTTAAATAAGAGATCTTAACAGGGCTGATGAGAGGAACCGTTGGAAAGTGGGAAATCCTAGATTTTAGGGGCATAGATGGGTATGGATCAATGTAGAAGAACATAAAGGCTCATGAAAATAACTACCCCAAAGTATCGAAAATGTATAGAATATTGCTTGCATGGAGTTTAGAGAATGGGGCAATCATAGTTACTATGAACTGTGGTGGCCCAGTGGTTAGAGTTCGGTACTGCAGGCTACTGTTGCTGCCTGCCGGCTGCCTGCAATTTGGCAGTTCAAATGTCACCAGACTCAAGGTTGACTCAGCCTTTCGTCCTTCCCAGGTGGGTAAAATGAGGACCCAGATTGTTGGGGGCAATAGGCTGACCCTGTAAACTGCTTAGAGAGGGCTGTAAAGCACTGTGAAGTAGTATATAAGTCTAAGTGCTATTGCTATGGCTACTTAATAGTTATTTCCTTTCACAGCTCTCCCTTGTCCTGAAAACAGCCACTATGTGCAGTGTGGAAGTAGATGTCCAGCCACATGTTCCTCCCGCAACACGCCCTTGCCTTGCACATTGGAATGTGTGGAAACCTGCCAGTGTAACGACGGCTACATCCTTAGCGTCGACAAATGTGTGCCCATTGAAAGCTGTGGTTGCACGCACAAAGGCGTCTACTATAAACCCGAAGAGGAATTCTGGAACAAGGACTGCACATTGCGCTGCAAATGTGATTCCAGGTTTGGGGCCGTGGTGTGTTCCCTGGCTGCTTGTCAAACTGGGGAGCAGTGCAAGCTGGTCAACGGAGTCCAAGGGTGCTACTCTAGCGCCTCCACCTGCATCTCTGCAGGAAACTACCAATACACCACCTTTGATGGTTATGGCTATAGGTTTGAGGGCCGCTGCATTTACCAACTGTCTAAAGTCTGCCTTCCCAGGCCTGATCTCATACCGTTTGACCTCTCAGCTCAGAACAACGTAGCTCCTGAAGGCCGTGCAGTTATATTAAAAGTGTATGGAAAGAGCATTATTATCCGTACCGACCAGGTGCAGGTAAGCTCTCTTTACTCAATAGGTTGAAACAAGTCAGTTTGAGATCTAACTGTTGCATTTGCATGGCATGTTAATATAGGTTTCTTTTAACCTTGGATAGTGTTTCTTTTCTGGTTTTCTGTTAAACCAGACCGTCGGATTAATTTCCGATCAACATATGGTGTAGATCAGGGGTGTCAAACTTGATTTCATTGAGGGTCACATCAGGGTTGTGTTTGACCTCAGGGGAGCGGGGTGGGCATGGCCAGCTCAATGTCACTCATGTTGGGGGTGCCTGTAGTAGCTCAAGCTCTCTTCCAGCAAAAATGGAACTCGGGAGGTCCTCCTGAGCTCCGTTTTCTCGGGCAGAGAGTGGCAGGAGGCCGTTGCAGCCAAAAATGGAGCTCGGGAGGGCCAAACGTGGCCCTCACAAGCTCCGTTTTCTCCGGCCGAGAGTTTCAGGAGGCCATTGCAGTGAAAACGGAGCTTTGTGCTGTTTCCAGGATGGCTCCGTGGGTCAGATCTAAGCACCCCACAGGCTGGATCTGTCCCACAGGCCTTGAGTTTGACACCCCTGGTGTAGATCTAGGAAAAATGGTTAATTCAGTAGACCTTCGATGCCAAACAACGCCAGGGTAAAAATTTAAATAATAATTAAACAGAACATTTACTGCCCTTGTAGGGTTTTTACAAATTTTGCAGTAGTAGTACTGCAATAACAACAATAACAATAATAACAACAATAACAATAATAACAACAATAACAATAATAATAGTAGTAGTAGTAGTAGTAGTAGTATTTGATTTTAATTTTTTTTGGTTTTGGATAGCATGGTTATGATATGAGTTTACCAAATAGGCATAGCTGATTTTTTTTTTTTTACGGTGGTTTGAGTGTAGTTGTTGTTTTTTAATAACAGAAAAGTGGTTTATTGATCCAGCCAGAATATTAACATGCTTATTTGGGGTTTTCATTCTTTAAAAATGGGTCACATATTATGCTGCTGAATATTACTATTTTACAGTATTGAATTTCAGCAATATGATCCAAATGGGCCCACTGGGGACTACAATACTTAATCTGCAGAGGCACATGTGATCTTCAGGCAATTACGTATCTACCCATATTTAATGGCAGAGGGCGTTTTAGTGTTGTTTAGAAATATATGCAATCCTAAGTTTAAAAGTGTTCTGGTTCTGCAGCAAGAAAGGCTGGGTTTTTTCAACCTGTGTAATTTATGGTGAATTTGTTACTGAACTACATTGATTAGTTAAAGTGCATTCATTATGGGGAAAGCAGAAAATCTTAAAAGGTCAGCTTTCAAATAGCTGTTTCTCCTGCTTCCCAAAATACCTACCTTTGTTTAGATTCTATTTCCAAACATTTCTTTTCCCTAGCACTAAAAAGAGCTGGGAATTTGGAGGGGTTTGGTTCAGTTTAATTGGAAAAGAAACAAAACTAAATACTCTCTTTTATTCAGGTGGATGGCAATCCAGTAAATCTGCCCTTCAACTATGAGGAGAAAATTAAGGTTCATTCTGACGGGCACCAATTTGTCATTGACACACAGTTTGGCCTGGTGGTCAAACTCTTCAAGGAAAATCTCAATGTTGAAACAACCGTGCCCTCAAGCTTTGCAGGACATCTGTGTGGACTGTGTGGAAACGCCAATGGAAACTTGGCTGATGAGACGATGCAAGAATATGGGGAAAACTGGTTCGTAGGATGCTCTCCGAGCTGTTCCCCGAAGTGCCCTCCCTGCTCATCCACTGAGCTAGAAAGCTATCAACAAGATTCATTCTGTGGGTTGTTGAACCGGCCAAATGGTCCCTTCGCTTCTTGCCGTGGGACCATTCCAGTTGCACCTTTCTTTGATGAGTGTATCAGAAAGACCTGTGAAATTCGGGGACAGAAGAATGTTTGGTGTGATGTTATTGCCACTTACGTAGCAGCCTGTCAGGCCAGAAGTATCCCTTTACAGAACTGGAGGACGGATAGCTTCTGCCGTAAGTTTGAACTTGAAGTGATGGATTTCAAAGACCAGTCGTTATGCATGGTGCCAAGATGTCTGACTACTCGCGTAGTGTTTATTCCTTTTTATATAGTTTCTACAAGTAGCAAAAGGCAACATAGATACAGCATCAGGATAGGTGAATCCCCTCCCAATCCTTAAGAATAGTGGTGATGTTAGTAAGGTGAGATCACTGTACCAGGTATGGGAATTACCAACCCGAGACAGGGAGTGAGATCATGCAAAGAAGCCCATATAGGTATTAGGCACAGCAGAATGCTGCGTGCGCCCTCTACAGGATCTCAATTGCTACTACATTGAAGGATTGGGGGTAGAGGGGGTGAGTCAAAGAGAGAGCACTTGAATAACAGAACAATAGAGTTGGAAGGCGCCTTGGAGGTCTTCCAGTCCAGCCCACGCTTAAGCAGGAGACTTTATACCATTTCAAACAAGTGGCTGTCCAATCTCTTCTTAAAAACATCCAGTGTTAGAGCACCCACAACTTCTGGAGGTGAGTCGTTTCACTGATTAATTGTTCTCACTGTCAAGGAAACTTCTCCTTAGTTCTAGGTTGCTTCTGTCCTTGATTAGTTTCCCCCCATTGCTTCTTGTCCTGCCTTCAGGTGCTTTGGAGAATAGCTTGACTTCCTCTTCTTTGTGGCAGCCCCTTAAATATTGGAACAGTGCTATCCTGTCACCCCCAAGTCCTTCTTTTCATTAAACCAGATATACCCAATTTCTCCTTAATTCCAGGTTGCTTCTCTCCTTGATTAGTTTCCACCCATTGCTTCTTGTCCGGCCCTCAAGTGCTTTGGAGAATAGGTTGACCCAGGGGTGGGATGCAAATATTTTTACTACCGGTCCTGTGGGAGTGGCTAGGTGGGTGTGGCCCTGTGGCTGGGTGAGCGTGGCTTCTTCTTTTATTTTGGGTGCAGCACCCCGCCTCCGCGCTCTGTTTTTTGCCTCCTGGGCCTCAGGGAAGACTCCTGGGAACCTGTTTTTGCTCCCAGGAGGCTTCCCTGAGGCCCAGGACGCAAAAAATGGAGCACGGGAGGCCCATGCAGAACCCCTTCCCCCAGCCCCTTTTTGCTTCCTGGGCCTCAGGGAAGCCTCCTGGGCAAAGCAGTAAGACAGCGAGGGGGATCCTGGCACAGCTGACCATTGGAACAGCTGATCGTCAGGAGGGGGGAAAAGAAAAAAATACCGGTTCAGCCAAACCAGTAGGTGTTTTTTTTACTACCAGTTTGGCCTAACAGTAGCATTTCTTTTACTACCGGTTTGTCCAAACTGGGCTGAACCCAGGGGTGGGATTCTACCAGTTCGCACCTATTCGCCAGAACCGGTTGTTAACATTCTAAGCAATTCGGAGAACCGGTTGTTAGAAGAAATTACTGGCCTAATCCTGTAAGGAAGGCAGGAAGGAAACATTCTGGTGTTGCTTACAGAAACTGTCTCTCCATTAACCTTTATTACATTCTTGGCAGGACTAGACTTCCTGTCTCAGGAACTTCTCTGGAGTTTTTTCCCCCTCCTTTGCTGGTACTTTGCTTGTGTGGAGTGACCGTTCAAAGTTACAATGGCACTGAAAAAAGTGACATGACCATTTTTCACACTTATGACTGTTGCAGCATCCCCACAGTCATGAGAGGCCAGGCAAGGAGATGCGTGCCTCGATGTGAGTGATATTAAGTTGGCCACACCCAGCCAATAACATGACCACCAAGCCATATCCACCACCTAAGCCACGCCCATAGAACCAGTTGTTAAAAATTTGAACCCCACCCCTGGCTGAACCGGTAGAATACCACCACTGGGTTGACCCCCTCATCTTTGTGGCAGCCCCTGAGATATTGGAACACCGCTATCATGTCATCCCCAGTCCTTCTTTTCATCGAACTAGACATACCCAATTCCTGCAACCTTTCTTCATATGTTTTGGCCTTCAGTCCCTTTTCATCTTTGTTGCTCTTCTCTGCATTTTTTGTAGAGTCTCAACATCTTTTTTTTATATCACGGTGACCAAAAGTGGATGCAATATTCAAAGCATGATCTTATCACATCATTATAAAGTGGTACTAACCGTTTGTGCGATCTATCCCTCTGCACACTGCTGGCTCATATTTAAGTGATTGTCCACTAGGACTCCAAGATCCCTCTCACAGTTATCTCTATTGAGTTAAAGTGCCTTGAGAAAATTCAATAGTTAATGCAGCTGGTGCATTTCAGCTGAATTGGCTTGTGGCTGCTATATATCCTGATCACGTGACCCAGCAGTTATGATAACTACAGTTGTGCCAAAGATTATTTTTGCGATATTTCTGTTCATCAGTGAACCGCAAGCGGAGTGGCTAAAGCTGCAGGTGATCTTCCTGTTCTTTCAACATATTTATGAGAGTTATAATACAAAACTATCTCATAGTGGCAATGAATATGATTAATTAATCTTCTGCCAACATTAATCCCTCCTACAATGCTTGATGGAAGAGTCTTCTCTCTTTCCAATTTAACCACCTCATCTATGCTGGATTAAATGTTGATCCAGGAGCTGCCTATGGCTGTAGCTTCTAGACTTCACATTTAATTCCCTGTCACAAAATGAAGAATATTTCTTTCCACCTCATTTCTCTGCATCTGCTGAACATAATCCATTTATAATTTTGCTGTTGACATCGCTTGGAAGAACCTAGGTTCACCTAATACAGGTAGTCCCCGACAACATGTGGCCTCGTTTGAAACTGAACCAAAACTAGAATAACACCAGAAGGATCTAAGCCATGATTACAGATAATCCTTGACTTGTAACAGCTCATTTAGTGACCGGTCAAAGTTACAACAGCACTGAAAAAACATGACTGTTTTTCCCACTTATGACTGTTGCAGCCACTCCTCCCCCCGTGGTCACGTGATCAAAATTTGGACGCTTGGTGACCAACTCATATTTATGACCGTTGCAGTGTCCCAGGTTCATCTTATCTGCTTTTGTAATCTTCTCACAAGCAGCGTCAATAGGGAAGCCCATTTCACTTAACAACCATGGTAACCAATTTAACAAGCGCAGTAATTTGCTTGAATGAATGATAACAGATATTCAGAGTTGGAAGGGACCTTGTAGGTCATCTAGTCCAACCCCCTGCCCAAGCAGGAGACCCTACACCATTTCTGACAAATGGCAGTCCAATCTCTTCTTGAAAGTCTCAAGTGATGGCGCTCCCACAACTTCCGAGGGCAACTTCTGTTCCATTGGTTGATTGTTCTCACTATCAGAAAGCTTTTCCTTATTTCCAGGTTAAATCTCTCCTTGTTCAGTTTCCATCCATTATTCCTTGTCTGGCCTCAAGGTGCTTTAGAAAACAGCTTGACCCCTTCCTCCTTGTAGCAGCCCCTCAAATATTGGAAGACCTCTATCATGTCTCCCCTGGTCCTTCTCTTCACTAGACTAGCCAAGCCCAGTTCCTGTAACCGTTCTTGGTATGTTTTAGTCTCTAGTCCCGTCATCATCCTGGTTGCTCTTCTCTGTACTTTTTCTAGAGTCTCAACATCTTTTTTATAATGAGGTGAAAAAAACTGGATGCAGAACTCTAGGTGTGGTCCTACTGAGAGAGGTATTAGTACCTCCATTGATCTTGATTGTATCCCTCTGTTAATACAACTTAGGATTGCATTAGCTTTTTTGGCTGCTGCTGCTGCACACGGCTGGCTCATATTTAGCTGGTTGTCCACTAAGACTCCAAGATCCCTTTCACAGTTGCTGCTACTGGATCTCGGGAGCCTGTTTTTGCTGGCAGAATGCCCAGGGCCCCACAGGTGCCCCCTGACATGAGTGACGCCATGCTGGCCATGCCCACTCTGGCCAAACCTACCTCCATGGTCAGACACAACCCTTATGTGGTCCATAATGAAATCGAGTTTGACACCCCTGACTTAGACTTATATACCACTTTGCAGTTCTTTATATCCCTCTCTAAGCGTTTTTCAACGTCAGCATCTTTCCCACAACAAGCCTGGTGGTAAGAAAGGGCGTGCAATGGAGCAAAATTCACTTTTTTGCTTCGCAGCAGGAATTTATGGCCTCAATTGTGGTTGTAAGTTGAGGACTACCTGTAGAGTAGCTTGCTGTTCTGCTGTGGACACCATGATAGCTCAACCTTTCTGGAACTTTTCTTAATCCTCTCTTTATTTTTTCTTCACTAGCTCAATCCTGCCCAGCGAACTCTCAGTACGAACTCTGTGGGACCCGTTGTGCTGCTACCTGTGAAAACCCACAGCTTCCGCTTATGTGTAGGGCGCCTTGTGGTGAAGGTTGCATCTGTAGACCAGGCTTCATCTTGAATGGGAACCTGTGCGTACCACTCCGGGAATGCGTCTGTGAATTTGAGGGCGTATACTACAAGAAAGGAGAGGAATTCTTCTCCAACGTCTTCTGCCGGAAACAGTGCCGATGCATGGAAGATGGAACAGTTCAGTGTCACGACTTCTGCTCCGACGAGGACGCCTGCAGAGTGGTGAATGACGTCTCAGTTTGTTTCCCCAGGGAACCAGGCACCTGCTATGCGCTGGACGGTTGGAATTATGTCACCTTTGATGGCGCGCAATATTCGCTGCCGGTTCTTTGCTCCTACATCCTCGCCCAAAGTGACGAGAGGCACAAGTTCTCCGTTGTCCTCTCAGCTGGATTCACTGGCATCGAGGAAGTCAAGATTCAGGTTTCTGAATACAATGTCGTTTTTCAAAGAGGCAAGGCCGGGGAAATTTTGGTGAGTCTTTTCCACGTCCAATAGCAACAGCACTAGCACTTAGACCAGGGGTGTTGTGATGACCCAGGGTGGGATACAAAATAAACACAGTCACAAAAAACAGGTGAAGCCCCTTTTATTCCTTCACTTTGCTTCCAAGCTCCAAATATCCTTGCCTGGAGACAAAAGACTCCCACACAAGCAGTTACAAGAAGGAGGAAATGCTGTTTAAATTATAAAGTGTAAAAAACAACACAAACCAGGCAAGATAAGGGCTGGAAGATGTCCACAGATATCAGAACACACACTGGGAAGGACGCCAAACTCAGAGAGGAACAATAGAGATATTTCCAAGCTTTGTTGCCAGCACTCGCCAGTATGCAGGTCCATCCTCTTATCCAGTTGTCACAGCTGCAGCCCATGAAGAGGATCAAGGCCCTCTCCTCCCCAGTAGACCACGTCTCTCTTGTGTTTCTTGTGTTTCTGGGACTTCTTCTGGCTCCTGGCACGTTGGATGAGTCCTTGGAACAACCTGGAACGAAGTGACATGCCAAAGCACCTCCCCTTTTAGACACATGTGCGTGGGAGGGAGGGGAGAATAGCACACTGTATCACCAAACGTCCAAAATGGGTGCTTTGTGCAAGCTTTCTTTCAAGCAAAGCTTTCCACACACATGTTTCAGAAGCTAGCACATCCCTGTTATAAACAGAGATTTGTTTTACCCATCCTGGCTTGATCCCCCAAGGTCATAAAATAGGGCAAAACTCGCTTAACAAATTTATCACTTAGCAACATAAATTGTGGACTCAATTGTTGTCATTAGTCAAGGACTATCTGTAGTTCATTCATTCGAGTGGTGTGGTGGCCTAGTGGTGAAGATGTTCACCTTCCATCTCTTGGAAGGTTGGGAGTTCAATCCTAGGTAGAGGCAGATGTTTCCCTCCTTGGGCACAAAGAAAAAAAAAATCTGCTGTGAACTCCACTTAGGCGTCAGGAAGGGCATCCGGCCAGTAAACTCATAGCTCCATCCAGTCAACCCCGAATGGGGACTACAGGGTTGTAAAAAGTAAAAAAAAAAAAACCTGCAGATCATTCATTCCTCTGATATTTATTAACAGACAAAAATGCAAAGAAATACATCAGATTCAATCTTGTTTCTTGCATCTCGTTGCACAGGTCAATGGACAGCGTCTTCCCTTGCCAGCTGACTTTG